GTTTGGGGCTCAGGCTTTAGGGTTTAGGGTTTAAGGCTTAGGCTTTCGGCTCCACGGTTTAGGCTTTAGGGCTTAGGGTTTAGGGGTTTAGGGTTTAGGGTTTAGGGGTTTAGGGGTTTAGGGTTTAGGGTTTAGGGCTTAGGGCTTAGGGCTTCGGGCTTCGGGCTTCAACATTTGGGAGAGCTAGGGCTTGGAGTTGTAGAGCTTTAGGGTTTAGGGTTTAGGGTCTTCCTTGCAGTACAAGGGGCCCAAGAGAAGCGGCTGGCAAGGGACCTCCCTTTTGCCAATTGCCGGAATCCCTCGAAGTCCAAGAACTGGTCCTGCACCGAAGAACGGCTTAGGGCTTAGGGTTTAGGCTTGATAGAAATTGTTAAGGGCTTGGGTGCAAGTAAGTTTTGACTGCTAGTAAGTTTTCACTGATTCTGGGGCTGGCCGATTGGGACAGGGACTGGGACTAGGGTCTGGGCTGTGGGTGGGCGGGGGCTGGGTGGGGTTAGAGGGGCTTGGCAGGCCCTTGTAAGCGAAAGTTTTGAGGCCGAGGCTGGGCGGGGTTGTGCTCTGCTGAAAGGACGCAAAGTCTTGGGGCTGGGCTGGGCTGGGCTGCGCTGGACTGGGCTGGCCCGAGAAATTGGTTTATCAGAACACGGAAAGGTTGTGTCCTGACCGAAAAAAAGAGGTTTCCGGATGGCCAACAGCAACAAGCAATTTCCATTTGTATCTTTCTTGAGGGTTTAGGGGTTAGGTTACCGCTACTCACCACTTCTGAGGCGTACAGCAAGGATCGTCCCTGTGCAGGCGGCACTCCTCCGGCAGGTCATTAACCTCCAAGGAGTGTTTGGGGTTTAGGGTTTGATGAGAGGCATCAGAGAGCTGGGTTCAGAAAACCGGAGAAACTGAGACTCGGGCCAAACGAGAAATCTGCTTCTGGCTCTTCCCCAGCTCACGCAGTGCATCAGCAATCTCCTGCATGCAGAAGCACTGCGAAGAGAAACTACTGCTGGGGCAGCACCTCTCGTCCCATCAGCTGGCCACTTTTGTCAGTGTCGATCACGTCGAAAGCATCCCGCAGATCCCCATCCTTGTCGGGAGACAGCAGCGACGGTTTGTGTTTGGGGCTACACCGGCCCGCCTTGAGGCCGATGCCGGGCAAATCCAACCAACTGCTGCTGCCTGGACGCTTGACCTCGTACCCAACCGGTGGTGGCTGACACGTGCATGATGCCAGGACGACGATGCACCACAACTTGATATGACACCAATCCAAAACCTGAAAACCATAAAACCCTAACAAGCATCAAACCCGTAAAACAAGAACATCAAAACCCCAAACCCCTCAGAGCCCTAAACGCCCACAACCCTCAAAACCAGTCAAGTGGCCATGAGCCGGAACGTTCGGAAGTCCACGCCGTCTTCCAGAGGCCATCGATTCAGCTCATGCTCGACTTCGGCACGTGACCTCGCAGAAAGCCCGAACTGGGTCAATGTTCGGGATCCTTTGGTGGATCTTTTAAGATTTTTCAAGGGTTCCGTTAAGGGTTCGGTTCAGGGTTCGGTTAAGGGTTCCTGAAGGGGTCTATGAGAGTAGTAGAGGGATTTAGGGTTTAGGATATGGGTTTAGGGCATTGGGTTTACATGGCTCAAGCAGGCTTGCCTGCATGAGTTTCCGGGGCATAGGTATAGAACATGGAGCTGCATCGGGTTAAGGGTTTAGGATTTCGGGTTNNCCTAAACCCTGAACCCGAACCCCAAACGACAAAATTGTCCGATTAGATTTGCACCCCGACCTCCCGAGTTGGAGGAAGGCTGCCTCGACCTCTTGCCGGGACAAACATCCGCTGCCGTCCACGTCGATCTCATCAAACTTGGCTTTCAGCTGCTCCTGCCCAGAGGTGTTTAGGGGTTTAGGGTTTA